GTCGGATACGCGATAAAGAAAAGAAAGAAGCTAATTTGGTTCTGCTTCAGGATTTAGCCGAGTGGGAAGAAAAAGCGTTGGGGCCTGATGTCCTTAAACAACTTCACTCAATGTGGGAGGTAAGGGTTATAAGAATTTAATCCTCCGAGTCAGACATTACAAGTCTGTAGTGAATTGGCTCAGCTTTTGGGGGGTTAGAAATTTTCTGTTAGATTTTTTTGGGTTGATAACTCTCCACTTTGAAAGAATGATCGACTGCAGTCTGTCTAAAGTTGGTGACAGATGCATGGTGAATCAATCTAAGGGTCGACACATGAACTATATCTTGCACAGTCTCTTGATGTTTTTATATACTCTATTTTTTTTATGTGGAGAAAAAACTTAACTTTTTGGGGGTTCTGGACCATTTTGACTTGTGTTTTTTCATTCTAGTTTTAGCCGAATGTGACTTTTTGGGGTTTAAAAATTTGGCCTAATTCGCACATCCTTGTCACTAATTAAAATTAATATACCTGAGTATCCCCCACCCACCCCCGCTGAGGTTTTTGAATCCTGTGACCACTTACTTTATGGTATGACAGTGAAATAGCTGTTATTACAGTTGAGCCCGCAGTCAAATATTCTTTTGTTTTTAAAAAGTATGCAAACGAGTTAGGCTTGATTTCCGCCGCTCTCTCAAGTCCAGTCTTTTTCCCCGAACAGTGGCTGGTAATCGAGCCTACAAATGAGGCTAATGGGCCAATACAATGCCAGATTGACCCTTTCGCCTTGTTTGCCATGTCAAACTGCTGACCGTCTGTAATAACTGCTATTATACCATGCAGTAAATGTTGCATGTAGTTGCTAGTAATTTTCCTGTTGTTGCAATGAAGAGGAGTGTTTCAATCAGTATTATCACTATTAGAACATTTTTCTTTGTGGAACGCACCCTATCTCTGACTCCCCAGTTAGAGCTTTTACCATAAGAAAAAAAACATCTCTTTTCTTACAGATTCCTTCTCTGGCTGGCTTATTATTTTTATTAAAAGATTTTCTCTACATTCAAGACCTCAGTATTACTGAACTAGAACTGAGTTTTGTTTATGCTAACAAGTCCTCGCTATTAGCCAGAATATTTACAGCTCTTTTGCTTACTCCACATCAGCGAAAAAGGTAAGATGTTGTCACCATATTCTTGAATTTAATGTGATAATTTAAACAACCTTAAGTCTTGCCCAAATATTACATTTTGATCAGCCTTTGTGCAAAGTTGGGATGGTTCATTTCAAGCAGTGTTTTGATTACTATTTAAACCACAATTTATTTATAACTTTGAGTCTCAAATACATTATCAGTGCAAATTCTGTATTTGAATTGCTGTTAACTTGCATATTAGCTGCTCTCACTTATACATGTATAATTATGTATGCTTCCCCTATCTCTTATTTTGGAGAAAATCCTCAAATTCAAATCAGAGAAAACTCCACTTGCAATTTTAGTTCTGAAATAACCTGAATATCATGTTTGCCTTGTCTGTACATTAATTTTGATGGCTGATATTTTTTCTTGTTCAGTCAGTTTTTTCTAAAAGATCGGTCAAAACCTTGTGTTTCTGGTCACTTTACATGCAACTTTTGTCACGGAGATTTTGCTCAATTAACTTCGTCTCTGCCGATTAACTGCCCCTGGAGGGGGTGGGGGTCCAAGGATGCCTTTTTGTAATCTTCTAATGTGCGGTTCCAGAAGAATATCCATACCCCCCCCAAGGAAGGTCATTTGAAATTCTAAGGGGGAGGTGGTCTCAAAAGCCAAACTTTTTAAACTAAGGAGCTGAAATGGAATTTCCAGTAGGTTGGGGGTTCAAACCAGAAAACCTTCCATGGGGGGGAATGAATATTTAAAGGAACAACACATTTTAAATTCATCTTCTATTTTAAATCATCTTTTTTGGATAGTTTGTTCAAGAAGGCTCCGATGAAATTCAAAGTATGGGAATCCAAGCTGTGTGACAGACTGAATAGCTGGTACAAGCTATTGAGAAGGATGGTCAGGTGTTGGTTAGTATTACCATGATCAACATGAATACTCTCCTAACTGTTTCTCATACAATTTCTATAATCCACCTTGGGAGAGTTTAGTTCTACATCAATATGTTTCCTGAGATGATCAGGTCCTTCATTTTCATCACCTGCCCTCTTTATCTAGATTTTTTTTGCATATTTAACAAGTATTATTATTATTAATAATTATTTGTTTTTTCAATTTAAACCTTGTACAGTGGAACCCCGCTTTACGGACACCTGCTTAATATGGACACCCGCTTATTACGGACACTTTTGTTTGTCCCGAAGGCACATATTTCTCTTATATCAGCCCGCATAATACGGACACCCGGATAATATGGACACTTTTTCATGTCCCTTTGGTGTCCATATTAACCGGGTTCCACTGTATTCAAAATATCCATTGTATATACATTGTATATGTAGCAAGTATGCCTCTGGTGGCCTGAAAGCCTGACTGGGTGTTCCTTATTGGCACAACTAGACTGTTCATAGCCTTTCTATTTTCTCAATGCAAAAAGAACCGTGAGTACTAGGCGAGCGTGGAGCACCTCTGTGCTTGTGCTCACTGTTTGCTCACAGTTATCACTTGCCTGATGGGAAAGTAAATTTTTGGACATTTTTAGTTGGCGTTGGCAGATGAAGTAAGGTCAATGAGAAAGGGCTTCGGGCTAGCACACAATGGCTCCAACTTGCCCAAAGGGCATCCTGGAAAATCTGTTCTCTTTGCACCCTGATTTGGCTCATGACAAATGGCATACATGTAGCTGTTAAGAAATAGCTACTGAGATTAAAAAATATATATGTGTTAAGCCTTGTCTAAACCCGGTGAAAGTATTTTTTATCTCAGTATTTAACATGTCTGTAACAAGAATATTGTTCTTCTTCTAGACTTGTCACCTGTATGGCTTGGATATGGTTACATTTGAAATGTTGGGTGAGTTTGTTTCCCATGCGTGAGGTTTTACAGTATAAGAATGTATTTGTGAATTGAATGATTGTCAGTAGAACAGCTATCACATGTTGCTTTATGTTACCTTTACAGGTGAAGTTAATCCTCTGTTGGAAAAGTCCTATATGGATCTAACACTTCATCAGCGAGTCTGGATTCTGAAATGCGTTTGTGATAATAGCCTGGTAAGTGAAGTCTTTTTGTGCACTTAAGATAAAATGATTTGGGAAAAGTTGGAAAAATTATTGAATTGTGGATACAAAAATATTTGCTGTATAATTTCTAGCACATTGGGGAGGGAAGGGGGGGTTGAACTTCACCCTTCCTGTACATTTTACTCCAGGGTTCACATTAAGTACGAGCAGCAGGCAAAAAAAAATGGCAACTTGAACTCCTGAGCCGCCTACTTTTCAAGAATAAAGCAGATATTTTAGTGTGGCACTAGCAAACTCAGCTGCCTTGAATCATTGAATCTAGATGTCTATTCAGAAACGTAATGAGAACCCTGGGTTCCCGCTATTTATATGCATTTTTCTATTGCAAAATATTATGCAATGTGGGGGAAAAATTATATTTCTCCCGGTTCCCGCCACTTCCTAGCCTCTCTTTTCCCACATCCTGTAGATGTAGACTTCATTTACTTCCGGTTCCCACACCCTATCCTCCCTCTCCCTCACAGTACAGTCAACTCTCTCTAAAGGCCGATTTAGACGATACGATTTTGTCGCATGCGACATGCTTACGGCAAGCCTACGACACGAATTGTGTCGTGTAAATCAAACCTACGATTATCGTGTACGACACAAAAAATGTCGTAGGAGTTTGAAACATGTTTTAAAACCCTACGACATGTCGTAGCTACAAACAATGTTAAAAGATGAAAGTTGTATACGATTTTTACATGACGCGAGTAGCGCGCGCTACAAAAGTCGCATGCGACAAAATCGTACCGTCTAAACTGGCCTTAAGACGGACACCATCGGGACCAGCACCAACTGGCCGTCTTAGAGAGGTGTCCTGCTTATAGAGAGTTTAGTTGTAGTAAAATGACTGAAAAACGGCGCGCAGGGACCAACACCAGGTGTCCGTCTTACAGAGGTGTCCATCTTATAGAGGTGTCCGTTAAGAGAGAGTTGACTGTACATGCATATTTTAGGACATAGGACCTGTAGTATTTAAATCTCATTGTATATTTATTGATGTTTTGTTATGTTCATGTATTCCAGGTCCGAGACTATGATTTCCGTGAACATCTTGCCACCATTTCTCCAACTGAACAGAGAGACATGGTTTTGGGAAGTGATGCGGACAGCTGGTCATATCTGTACTTTCCTATCTTCTCAGCGTCAGATTTGCGCATCTACAAGCACTGTCCTTTGGATGTTCCAACGTTAAACAAACGACAGAAGAAGGTAAATTTATAATTCACAAGACATGCAGCTATATATTCACGATCATACCCATAAAGATTTTATTTCCATTCAAACTAAATAAAGCCAGGTACAAAGGTCTGCTTAATCCAAGCTACTACTACTCACTGGCTGTTATTGTTAATGTGGGGACTGTTTTTGTTGAACTAACAGTGAGACCATTTTCTTTGTATTTAAGGTGGCTCCACCCCCACCCCCACCCCCAGCTGCAAAAAAGGCCAAAGGAACTCCAACACGGCCTGCAACACCCACTCAACCCAGGAGAAATACAAGACTTAGAAAGGTAAGTAAGAGCTTCTCTTAGCAAGAAACTATAGTTGATGGCTGTTTTCAAATTACCACATGGTTTTCAAACATTTTCTCATTACAGTGAACTCTCTCTAAGACGGACACCATCGGGACCGGCACAAACTGTCCATCTTAGAGAGGTGTCCGTTTATAGAGAGTTTAGATACAGTAACATGACTGAAAAATGGTGCACAGGGACAAACACCAAGTGTCTGTCTTACAGAGGTGTCCGTCTTATAGGTGTCCGTTAAGAGAGAGTTGACTGAACATGTAGATGGTCCTGTGGGAGACACGGTGGCCTAACGGTTAGCGTGTTGGACTCCGGATCGAGCGGTCCATGCTCGAGCACTGGCTGCGGTCATATTGTTGTGTTCTTGGGCAGGGCATTTAACTCTCACAGTGCTTCTCTCCACCCCTGAGTGCAGTAGCAATAACAACAACAACAACATCCTCTTTATTACCCTTTTCAATTATTTACAGGATTACATAAAAAAATATAGAAGTAGAAAACAAGGGTACTGGCAACCGAAATAACCATTAGGTTAAAAATGCCAGGTTGACATTTAACAAATTGACTACTATACTCAATACTCCTAGCTGCCTTCATGCTACAGAAACCGGGATAAGCTCTGGCTGTGTGGGTCAGTTTGGCCGAGTGCAGCTTCTTAACCCCAATTGTTGAATTTTTCTTTCCTTCATTTAGCTGCGAAGTGATACACCATCACCCGAACCAGAAATCGCAAATCCGCCATCACCTCCACCAGCTGAAGAAAAGCAACAGGAACAGGAGCCAAAGAACACCATTGCTGAAGGCTTTGAACTAGCTGCATTCGACATTGATTCCCTCAAAATGCTTTGTGAGAAATTTGAAGAGCCACCTCCTCCCCCTAGGAAACGTGGCCGGAAGCCCAAGCCCACACCCCCAAGGAAGCGATGTGAAGTTGACTTGCACCAAACTCTGTTAGCCTTGATTGAAGAATTGGAGAAGTATGAGATGTCGTTTAGCAGGTTGACAAGCAAGGCAAAGATAAAGATCATGAAAGAAAGTCAGGAGCCTGAACCAGAGGATGAGCCAGGTACAATAACCCTGTCAGTTCTCTGTGTTAATCATGTGATTACTTGTTAATAACATAAAGAGCAAAATTAGTGTGATAAAGACATCGGGTGGTCTTCGGGAGACAATCGGAAATATTCAAAATTCTTGAGAGGACCTCGGGTGATTTTTGGCAATCTTTGGCAATCTTCAGAAGGGTTCAGGTAATCTTTGGAAATGTCTTCGGGTCAACTTTGCACCCTTCGGAAGTCCTCAGGCAATCTTCGGAATCTCCAGAGTAATTTTGCCCTGGACAAACAAAAAATTCCCTCTGTCTAAACCAATCAGAATGCAGTAGTTTTGCCCTCTATGTTATTACAAGGTTAATCATGGTTATTATTTCTGTTTTCTTCAGAAGAGGTCGTCCCTGCTGAAGAAGTAGAGGAATGGGGCAGCGAGGAAAGCATTGGAGATGAAATTGAAGATGCTGGCGCAAGGAACATGTCAAGTGATGAAGACTTCATTCTAGAAGATGAGGGCAGGAAAAATAAGATACCAGCGTCAGACCCATCGAACAAAGATGGGGAACATAGTGAGAACAAAGTGGACGCAGGAACACAGAGCTTGCTTCCGCAAAAGAGGAAAGCTGAAGAAGCGAATGTTGTTGAGGAAGGTAAACAGGCTGCTGCAAGTCCAGGCATTAATGATGATGATTCATGCTCCATCGCCATTCAAACAGCTCCACCTAGACTGAAGAAGAAGCGTAAGAAGCAATTACCTACCACAGAGCTGAAGACTACAGTAGTCCAGGCTCATGCAGTAGGCACAGTTGTTCACCAGACAACCTTACCTAGGACTGCACAGGTGAATCAACAAAATATCACCCATATTCCTGCTGGTCTGCAGCTTGTGAAAGAAAGCAGACCAATCGATCTTGCAGCCAAGACTTCTGCCTCTGTAAATACAAATGTGGTAGTCGGCAACACAGTTTCTTTAGCTGGAACTCTACCTTCTACTAGCACAACACAGGCAGACAGAAACACAAGCTCTGTCCCCAGAGTACATCTGAAACTGCCAGTTACCTTAAACGCATCAACTTCTTCTACAGTAGCCAAGCCCAGTTCATCAGCAGCATTGCCTACATCGCAAGTCCGCAGTGTCACCTCCGCTCAGGCTGTCACGGTTTCCAAGAATCTTTCGTCAAACAGCTGTTACTATTGCCTCTCAGCATCTTCAGTCACAAGCGCGTTTGTCCGCTGCGGTGCCAGGTTTGGGAAAAGTTATGTTGGTGTCAAGTTCTGGGGTTCCACTGCAAATTGTGAAAGCTGTGTCTCAACCCTTGATTCAAGGAAAAACTTTGAACACGTCTCTCCTGACCACGCAAGGAAACACCAGGCTCCCGGTATGTGTTGTTTCTTCAAGTTCCTCACTGTCGAATCCAGTTGGAAAAACAACGCTTGCAAGCTCTTCGCTTCTTGCTCAGTCAACTGCTTCTCAGCTACCAAGCTCAACCAGTGCCAAGCAGGCTAGTCATGTCAGTACCACAAGTGCAACCCCTCTGCACCCCCCGGTTTTTCTAGTGCAGCGCCCAGGATCAGGAGGGGTTGTGCCACTGGCAGTCAAGGGAGGGGCTATCGTCATGCCTTCTTCCTCAGCATCACAACAGGTAGTGCTTATCAGACCTTCAAGTTCACTGACTTCGTCTACCACAAGCGCAACAACGCTGTTATCTGGAGCAGGTATTTCTGTGTTAGGTAGTACTCAGATTGCGCAGACTGCACTTGGGCATAAGGTCATTTTATCACCAGGTGTATTGTCAACGTCAAAGAGTTTGCCACAGCTGGGTCCAAAGACTAAACTTGTTACAGGCAACAAGCCAGTTGTACAAGTAGCCCAGGCTCCATCAGGAATTAAACCATCTGATCCTAAGACTACTTCTCTAGCTTTGGGTAACAAGCCACTTATCGTGATGACAACAGCCTCACCAAGTATTATAACAGCTAATAAAGCAGCAACCAGTACTTGTGTGACTGTGGGAAGCAAGTCAGCAGCATTGATTACAAGTCCTTCCGATTCAAAACACACATGCACAGCCTCAGCTGTAGGGAACCAACAAGTTTTGGGAACAGTGCCTGTGGCGTCTTCAGAGATTAGAGCTCCTAATAAACAGTTAACTAATGTGGGATCAGATCGTGCGTGTGGCACTGAAGTGTCAAAGACAGTTGCGACAACTCTGACGTCAAATTGCGATACAGTGAAGGGGGCAGACATACAGACAGTGTCTACTGTTTTGCCAGACACACGGACAGTGACAGCTGTTTTGCGAGACACACAGACAGTGTCAGCTGTTTTGCCAGACACAAGGACAGTATCTGCTGTTTCGTCAGACACACAGACAATGTCGACTGCTTTGCCAGACACACGGACAGTGTCTGCTGTTTTGCCAGACACACGGACAGTGTCAACAATTTCACCAGATGCACAGACAGTATCTACTGTTTTGCCAGAGAAAACAAATGCAAAATGCGACAACAAATCATTTCCTTCAAATACAATTACCACAAACAGGAATTCTCAACCAGAAAACATACATGATAATTTTGATAATAAAGGTAGTACAGAGTTACATGAGAGAGAGAAAGACACTAAAAATGGTTCTGATCCCTTAGTGGACCTTACATGTTACGAGACAAGTGTTAGCGACTCTACAGGATGCGAGGAGAGTGATGACTCCGCCCCCAATGGGCTCCACCCAGACCTCAAGGCATCGCTTCCATCTAAGCTGGCGGAAACAGATGTTAAGCTGTGCAATGGAGTCAGTCGATTAGTGACTCCGGATACCAAGTGTGACAAACAAGAACTTGATTCTGTGGAGCGGAGTCATGCAGTAACTAAACAAACCACTAACGGGGTTGTCATAAATGAAACTTAAAAACAAATATCGACGGCAGGTGATGAATGAGAGAAATTGTGCTCCTTTAATAAGCTTTTCATTATAATTATCAAATGTAAAGGAGCTGAAAGATATTTTTCCACATGAAACTTAGTTCATTTTAAACAGTTTTCTCTTCCTTTACACCATGTTTCTTGGGGTGCCTGTGCACGTTTAATCGTGACGTAAGAACGTGTTGTAAAACAGATCATTTTGATGGGATGGGACGATAATATTGTGTACAGTGCATGTAACTTTCCTCAGAGGGTGGCTCTCGGGGCTTCATTTTGTGACTGCGTAATATAAGTTTCCTTGTGGAAGTTAAATAAAAGTGTTGGACAGTATGGCTTTTTGTAGAAAAATGTAGATTTTGTATATCTGGGAGGGGTCATTTTTCTAGGGGTACAACTCTAGTGTGTGAGTTTGGTACCTTGCTTTTTTAGCTCTGCTTTATTATATTGCTGGCTTTGGGAGCGACAGGCAAGGTGAAGTTAATCCTGCATTGTGGTTGGCTTCCTGAGTGGGCAAGATGGGCCGCTCGGGATTACCAGCTATCCTGCCCGCTCGGGATTGCCCGCGGTTTCCCCATATAATAAATCCTTTATTGACCAACAAAGTGATTAGTTTCTAGTGAAACTGTTGTGCTGCATCAGCGGGCAAGTAAAACACTAAGTTGATTATCAACTCGAAGTTGATAAAGGTAAATTAACTGCCGTAGCGAATTTGGGAAAGCTTTCCCAAGTTCACCATGGCGGTTAACTTACCTTTATAAACTTTGATAATCAACTAAGTGCTTTATTGACCAAGCTTGTTCGGTCATGGTGGCGGGATATTGGCCAAGTGTTGCTGTTGTTGCACACAAAAGAAAACTGCTCTGGATTGGCTGTTCGCTAATTTACAGTCTTGGCTTGAAGTCTTTTAATAAACATTCAAGTAAATTAAATCGCTATTCAATGATTATTTGATTGATTATTCTTCGATAGACAATTTTTTATTTTATTTTTTATTTGGGGGGGGGGTGGGGGGTGTCTAAAGCAATCCCAAAAACGTGGACTTATTTTATCACAAGGGCTTATTTCCGGAGAGAAGGAATTTTGCTGGGCTTTGGATTTTGGGTCTGAAAAAAAATATTTTACGGTATTCTTACATGTGCCCAAAATTTTTCAGAACCAAAAATCCCTTTCAAATATAAACCCAGCCATTTGGGGCACATGTAAGAATACTGACTGTATGGCAAAACTATCTCAACATGAAGATACATCAAAAATCTCTGAACAGGCTGTAACGGTATAAAATGCAAAAAAGAGAGGGTTACGGTATGTGTGGGGGGGGGGGGGGAGGGGGTGGGCAGAGGAATCTGAACTTCCCACCTCCAGTACTTGTACTCCCGGTTTCC